TCGCCTTATAAATGTCTAATTGCTCCAGCTCCATTTATTGAAAAGACAAATATAAAAGTATTCACAAAAAATTCAGACTGGAGGCATGGCTCAAGTGATAGAGCCCCTGCCTAGCAAGCATGAACCCCTGAGTTCAAACCCCAGTACTGTGCCAAAAAATCATTCAAGTACTGGTGGCTCAGGTCTGCAATCCTAGCTACTTGGGAGGCTAAGATTGGGAAGATCAAGGTTTCAGGACAGCCTAGGCAAAAAAATTTGCAAGACCTCATTGCAACAGAAAAAAACTGGGTGTGGTGACATGCACCTCTCATCCACCTACAGGGAGAAGTGTAAAATAAGAGGATCACAGTCCAGGTTGCCTGGACATAAAGGGCAAGACCCTATTTGATAAATAACCTAAAATCAAAAAGGGCTGAGGGTGTGGCTCAAGTGGTAGGGCGCCTGCCTAGAAAGCATGAAACCCAAGTTCAAACACCAGTACTACCAAAAAATACATATATTCATCATGGCCTATAAACAGCATATAGTCATGTGTCACTTAATAAGAGGGATACATTCTGAGAAATGTATTGCTAAAAGATTTCATCACTGTATGAACAACACAAAGTATACTTCACAAACTAAGATGGCAACAATGTCAGTATCATCTTATGGGACCATTGTCATATATGCATGTGTCACTGATCAAAACAGAATCACTGTTTTGATCACATGTACTTATTACATAACTACAGTCACTACTACCCATGTCAAATTAAAAACTGACACAATTTCAACTGATTTCACGTTTTAAAAAAATAATTATTTCAGATTACTAAGTACTAATACTTTTAGACAATAAAAACAATTCTATTGTTGTGTATTCCTTGTGATTCATTAATATGTCATAGTCTCTCTGTCTTCTAGGCTTCTAAATCACTATCCAACTTTGAACTTTCTGCAATGATGAAAATACTCTTTGGCAGATTTTTTAAAGATCCAGAATCCATGTTTTATTAGTTTGTGTACAAGGGATGAAGTTTAGGCCATTGCCTGTGGATGTCTAATTGTTCCAGCATCATTTGTTGAAAAGACAACGTAAGCCCTGATAGCCAATTGTCACCAATCAGGCATGAAATGTTAATGCAACTGAAGACCTAAATTAATTTTAGTTCATTTAAATTTTATTTTAGCGTGTATGTGTATGTCTGGGATTGAACCCAGAGTCTCAAATATGCTAAGCATGCACTCTACCATTAAGCTATACTACACCACCCTGCCCAAGTTCAGTTCACTTAAATTTAAATAGCCACATTTATCTAATAACTACTGGATTGGATAGTTATAGTTATCTAATAACTACTAGTTTGAACTCAGGGCCTCATGCTTGCTAGGCAGGCACCGTGCCACTTGAGCCACACCGTCAACTTTAAGGGAGAAATTATGAATGTTTTTCATCTGAGTTTGGGGAAAAGACAAAGATGTTCTCCATCAAGACTTCTACAGGACAATGTACTAGAGTCCTACTCAATGCAATAAGGTAAGAAAAAGGGGGGAAGGTATAAAGATTAGAAAGGAAGAGATCAACAAAAGTACTTAATTGTAAAGAAACTAAAATAAACTATTAAATCACGAAATGTTACACACACACACAGAAATATACATATCCTGTACTTCTATGTACTGGAAACAAAGTTGGAAAATATAATGTAAAGTAGGGACCAGGCTCAGTGGCTCAGTTCGGTACTCCAGTTACTCAGGAGGCAGAGATTGGAGGAGCAGGGTCAAGGCCAGCCTCAGGAAAAAAAGTTAGGGAGACCCCATCTCAATAAACAAGCCTAGTATGGTGGTACACTTTATAACTCAGCTACACAAGAGGCACAGGTAGGAAGATCAAGAGTCCAAGGCTGGTCCTGGAAAAAAAGCAAACCCTGTCTGAAAAAATAAATAAGAGACAAAGGGCTAGGAACGTGGCTCAAGCAGTAGCAAGCACAAGGTCACCAGTACTACAAAAAGATAAAAAAAGAAAATCTAATATAAAAGTACTATATAAATAGCATAAAAAAGCCAGGTGCCAGAGGTTCATACCTATAATTCCAGCTATTCTAGAGGCAGAGATCACAGTTCGAAGCCAGTCAGGGCAAATAGTTTGTAAAACCCTATCTCAAAATACCCAACTAAAAAAAAGGGCTGGTGGAGTGGCTCAAGTGATAAAGCACCTGCCTAGCAAGCAAAAAGCCCTGAGTTCAAACCAAAACAGCTAGACTCAAACAAGATATATAAAATAAATCCCTTTTGCTTGGTGCAGTGGCTCAACCCGTCATCCTAGCTACTTAAGAGTCCAAGATCAGGAGGATCGCAGTTCGAAGCCAGCCTGGCCAAATAATTCACGAGACCCTATCTTGAGAAAAACCATTACAAAAAAGGGCTAGTAGAGTGGCTTAAGGTGTAGGCCCTGAGTTCAAACCCCAGTACAAATAACTAACATAATACAACATAGCACAAAAAAGGGATGGGGGCATGACATAAGTAACAAGCATGATGCCTTGAATTCAAACTCTAGTACAGAAAAAGGACTGGTAAGCAAGTGTTGGTACTGGTAGAAGGAACTGGAAATTTCACATACAGCTAACTAGAAGAAAAACTGGTAAAGTTACTTTGGAAAACCAACAATTCTACTCCTGGACATATACAAAAAAAAGAATGAATGCTTTATACACCAAAAATCATGTTATAAAACAAAATAAAATTTCATCGTAATTGTCCAAAACTAGTCACAAACCAAATGTCTATAAACAGGGTAACAGATAAAGAAATAGTAGCGATATACCCAAAAGACTGTTACTCCAGAGGCACCTGCACATCCATGTTTATTGCGGCACTATTCACAATAGCCAAGTTATGGAAACAGCCAAGATGCCCCAGCACTGACGAATGGATCAAGAAAATGTGGTATCTATACACAATGGAATTTTATGCAGCCATGAAGAAGAACGAAATGTTATCATTCGCTGGTAAATGGATGGAATTGGAGAACATCATTCTGAGTGAGGTTAGCCTGGCTCAAAAGACCAAAAATCGTATGTTCTCCCTCATATGTGGACATTAGATCAAGGGCAAACACAACAAGGGGATTGGACTATGAGCACATGATAAAAGCGAGAGCACACAAGGGAGGGGTGAGGATAGGTAAGACACCTAAAAAACTAGCTAGCATTTGTTGCCCTTAATGCAGAGAAACTAAAGCAGATACCTTAAAGCAACTGAGGCCAATAGGAAAAGGGGACCAGGAACTAGAGAAAAGGTTAGATTAAAAAGAATTAACCTAGAAGGTAACACCCACGCACAGGAAATCAATGTGAGTCAATGCCCTGTATAGCTATCCTTATCTCAACCAGCAAAACCCCTTGTTCCTTCCTATTATTGCTTATACTCTCTCTACAACAAAATTAGAGATAAGGGCAAAATAGTTTCTGCTGGGTATTGAGGGGGGGAGCGGGAGGGGGTGGAGTGGGTGGTAAGGGAGGGGGTGGGGGCAGGGGGGAGAAATAAACCAAGCCTTGTATGCACATATGAATAATAAAAGAAAAATGAAAAAAAAAAAAAAAGAAATAGTAGCAAATTCATACAATGGAATACATAATAATGAAAAAACAACTACAAAAAATGAAATGACTCTTACAGTCATAATGCTGATAAAACAGGCTAAACAGGAAAGTAAGATATACTATATGACTCCATTATATGGTATAATACAACTAATCTGGGACTGGGGGTGGGGCCAGAGTGGGAGAGTGGTTGCCTAGCATTTGTGAGGTCCTGGGTTCCATTCCCATTATTACAGAAAAAAAAAAAAACCACAAAACTAATCTGTGGTGGTAAGAAATCAGAAGTATCATTACCTTTGGATGGAGGGTACAAATTGGGAAGGAGAACAAGAGAGCTTCCTGGGAGCTTAAATGTTCTATATTTTAACCTGTAGGCTCATTTGATAAATCATTGGCTGCCAGCCTGTGCTGCTGAGTAATAGAACCTTTGAGCAGTGGGGCCTACTCTGAAGAAGTTAGGGCACTGTGGACATGACCAAAGTGACTCAGCTCCTTTCCAGCTCTCATATTCACTTCTGAGCTTCCATGAGGTGAGCAGCTTCCTTTGCCATGTGCACCCATCATTATACCACTTGGCCATAGTCCCAAAAGCAATGGGGCCAATCAACCATGGATAGAAATTTCCGAAATGGGGTAAGCCAAAATAAATATTTCCTTCTAATAAGTTGATCATCTTGTGTGTTTTGAAATAGCAATGGGAAGACGACTAACACACTATCCTAAAAAAAGTCATTCATTTTTCTAGCCATCCACCCGGTCTGCCACTTCAGAGAGTTATCTGAAATGTTCATCAAATGTTATCAAGAACTGCTAACTTTTAAAAGAAAATTTTGGTGGTACTAGGGTTTGAACTCAGGGCCTCATGCTTGCTAGGCATGCTAGGCAGACACTACCAGTTGAGCCAGTCTGCCAGCCCTTTTTTCTGTGTGTTGGTTATTTTCAAGATAGGATCTCGAAAACTATTTTGCCTGGGCTGGCCTTGAATTGCAATCCTTGTGATCACTGCCTCCCAAGTAGGTAGGACTACAGGCATGAGACACCAGCGCCTGGTTAAGTACTGCTTATTTTTGAACGGGACAAATTTTAGGTAAACTATACTTTTACACATTCTACTTTTCTGTATTACTTAAATTTTAAATGAGCATATATTGTATTTATAAACACAACATAGTCTTTTAGTAATCAGGAAAACAGCTATTTGACCACTGAAATTTTCTTTTCTCTGCTGCAAAGTCAGTGAGGAAAACTTTCTTTTAGACTAGCAAAGAAAAATCAATGCAGATGTGTAACCATACCAACAAGCACACAAAACAGATGCTCAATGGATTGGAGGTTTCTCTTTTGTGGGCTCTATAGAACCTAATTATTAGCAGATGTATGGTACCTGCAAAACAAGACCCTGAAATTTCATACCTTCACAATAGGATGTCCACCAGTAGATGCTTTTACTGCCCCTCGGCTACCTTCAGTTTCATAATGGGCTCGATGATGAGTTTTAGGCTGTACTTCTATTTTCAGTTCACATTGTCCAAAGTGAGCTGGTAAAGGCCAGTCTAATGGAGGTAATGAAGATGTGCTATAAACAAAACACATAAAGAAGCATTTCACCATGCTATTATTGCCAATACTGATCCAAATCATTTGTTTACCAATAGCAACATGTCTTCTTGTGAGCTCTGAAATAAAGTATTCCAAAATAAAACTTCACTTCATAAGTTACAACACTAGTTATTGAAGGTGCTTCATAAAAAATTATTTAATCTGAAGACTAAAATCTATTTTATCTACTTTTCATTTTCTTATGATTATTTTTTAGTAATTGCTTTTTTTTTGGGGGGGTGGGGGAGCTTGGTACTGGGGATTGAACTCATGCCCCTGCACTTAAAAGCACTCTACCATCTAAACCATGCCCCCAGTCTCTTTTTTTTTTTTTGGAAAGGACAAATTCTAATTTATGAAAATGAAACTTTCTCAACTGTATATATGTAAGTAATTACAAAAGCAAAAGAATGGTAATTTGGTTTCTTTCTCTCTCTTTTTTTTGGTGGTACTGGGGTTTGAACTCAGGGCCTCATGCTTGCTAGGTAGATGATCTACCACTTAAGCCACTCTGCCAGCCCTATAAAATTTGGTTTCCTAAAGCAAAGATGCATGTCTCTATATGTGTAACAGTATCTAAGAATCCAAAACTTTTTTCTCTCTCTGTCTCAATAAGTATTTTTCCCTCCCTGGTATGAGTCTGTGGAAGTCAGTCTATTATACATGTTGCCTCCCTGACTCCCTCCCTACTACTCTCATCTCTCTGAAAAATTGCTGATATTCAGTAATATGCTATAATGAGGTAAAACTTTAATTTCGGTATATATTTGGCTGAAAAAAAAGCATCTGTAATATCATTAAATATCTATTTTTTCCATGATCAATAAGCAATTTAAATAGCTTAAAGCCCTAAAGAATCATTTAGATACATTAACATTGAAAATACAGAAGTAGAAAATGAATTATAAGTACACAGGTCAAATATGAATAGACCCAAAGCTACAATGATCTATATTTAAAAACAACATCTTCTTAATGATTGGTGAAATAGGACTTTAGGTTTCTTCCAATATCTAAACTGCTATCATTCCTATATAAATTTCTAAATTATTTCATTGCTTTCTTCAAAGTCCTCAGTCTAGCTTAAATCCTCCTACCATAAAGCATTAATCTTTATTAGTCTGAAACAGCTCAACTTTATCAACTGTATTAATTCTGTACTTGTTCTGCAGACCTGAGCAAACCCATGGCGAGATTAAGATAAATTTCAGAAGCAGAGTGATAAGTTCAAAGTATCTTCAATACCTTAATGCCACATTATATTTTCCTAAAGATGAGGATTACAGAAATAATCATTCATACTAAATGAGAAAGCATTAAAAAAAAATACCTACAGCCACAACTCCATGTGGGAATTTAATATATGATAAAAGTTGTCTTTTCTGAGGCAGGCATCAGTAGCTCATGGCTGTAATCCTAACTCCTGTGGAGGCTAAAACCAGGAGAATCACAGTTAAAGGCCAGCCCAGGCCCATCTCCTCAATAAACAGAGCAAAATGGACTGGAGAGGTGGCTTAAGTGGTAGAGCACCTATTTTGTAAGTGTGAAGCTCTGAGTTCAAATCCCAGTCCCAACGACAACAACAAAAAATCTATGAAAAAAGCATCTTTTCTAGAAATCCACCAAACACTGTTTGAAAGGGGTGAGAGGAGTAGAAGTAAAATAAAGGGGATGAATTTGTTCAAGGTACACTGTTTGCATGTATGGATTATCACAATGAAATCACCTCATATTATTCATGTATGCTAATTCAAAAATAATTACAAGAGTTGACAAGCTATCTGAAAGTCTTTATACTATTCTTCACTTCTTACACCAAAATATATTTCAGCTGGATACTATAGTCATATATGCAAAATAAACATCACATGTTATATACACATAATTATGTACACTGAAACTTCATTAGAAACACAAATGCAAGTTACATTTTTATTTTTAATTAAAGTAGAACAAGACTTTCAAATATAACACACATACTAAAAGAGCCATAGGAAAATAAATTTGAATACAAAAAAATTAAAATTTCTCTATAAGAACAAATAAACCACAAACTTATAAAAATAAAAAATAAAAAAAATAATTATGGAGACCAGGCACAGTGACATGCATTGTAGTCCCAGCTACTTGGGAGGCTGAGGCAAGACTGCAAATCTGAGGCCAAGAAGCAACATAGCAATATCCTGTCTCAAAAAAACACAAAACAACAACAAAAAACCAAACAGCTGGGCATGGCGAGGCACACTTCTGATCCCAGCTACACAGGAGGCATAGGTATGGGATCCTAGTCCTAGGCCAACCCCAGACAAAAATGCAAGACCCTATTAGAAAAATAATCAAAGCAGAAAGCATTGGGGGTGTGGCTCAAGTGGTATAGGACCCTGCCTGGTAAACTCAAGGCCTTGAGTTCAATCCCCAGTACTAACAAAGAGAAAAAACACATTAAAAAAAAAAATCAAGAAATAAATAAAATAAACTATGGGAAAAAAATGCTTGCCACAAACATGACAAATCAAATAATGAGCTCTTAATAATATAATAATTGAGGAAGACATTGGGAGGACTGCAGTTTGAAGCTGGCCTTGAGGAAAAGCTCAAGAGACCTCCACCTCAACCAATAAAAGCTGCGTGTGGTGGCTTGCACCTGTCATGCCAGCTATGTGGGAAGCTTAAATAGGAGGATGGCAGTCCAAGCTAGTCTGGGCATAAACTCAAGACCTTATTCGAAAAATAAATAAAGAAAAAAAAGGGCTAGGAGCGGGGCTCAAGTGGTAAAGAATCTTCCTAACAAGCGCAAAGCCCTGAGTTCAAACTCTAGTACCACACACACACACACACATAAAATAAGCTTATTCCACATTAGTTTTATTAGTATTATAATTCATACTATAACTCACCTTTTACAAGCTTCTCTAGATAAGAAAATCCCTTACAGGGATTCTTAAATGCAATTTATTATTATCTGCAATTCACTGCCTACATACTTTTAAAATTCTAACTTCAGCGTTTTTTTCTTGTGCAGTACAGGTATTTGTACTAACAGCAAAACACTTCCTAGGCAGATGCTCTACCATTCCCCCATCCTTTTTTTGCTTTTAGTTGTTTTTTGGATAGGGTCTCAAGTTTTTGCCTAGGGCTAGCTTTGGACGATGAGTCTCCCCACTATGGCCTCCCAATGAGCTGGAATTATAGACTTGTACTATCATGCCCAATTAGTTAAGATGGAATCTTGCTAACTTTTTGCCCAGGTTGTGATCCTCTCAATTTCTGCCTCTTGAGTAGCTGGGATTACAGATGTGAGCCACTGCACCCAGCCTAAAAATAAAACTTTTAAGACTTAAGGAAAAATAAAAATTGACATCTATGTTATTTGTCCAGAATTTTAAAAAGAGAAGAAACAAAGGGAGGGAGGACAAATCATTATAAATAGATAACATAATTATATGCTATGTTAACAAGTGATCCAAAAGCATGAAAAATGATCAGCAAAGCCATTTCCATCAACTCACCGAAATATAGGGGTGTGGCCAGGCTTTGGTTTGCTCCAGGTAAACGGTGAAGGAACTGAAAGAAACTGGTCACCAGATGAATCTTTCTTTAAAGGATACTGAGATCCAAGGCCATCATCTATTGAAGTCTCACGGGATGGTGATAAATTCCCTTGATCATCAGAACAAAGCTCTAATTTTCCTGGTAGTATGGCAGCTTGATCTTCAGAAGTCTTCCTTGTTTTCAGAGGGATGTCAGTCTCTACACAGTACTGAAATGGAAAAAGTGCAGGGCCAAGGCCTGATCCACTGTGTACAGAAGCATTGAGCCAGGTATCTTCTGTTACACTTCCCCTAGGGGAGTGACCAGGAGAAGGAACAGGTGAGTGATGGGGTGAAAGGGAACCAGCATAACAAACCTCGGCACTGGAGTGCCGCCGTTTCCCACAGGGGGAAGTGGGCCTTGATGAGGGTCCTGAGGCCGGCCTGGGGCTCAGCCAATTCTCATCAGTAATACTGGATCTAGGAGAGTGGCAAGGAGACTGCTTGGGTGACAGAGAGTGTCCAAGACCATACTGTTGATGCCAAGACTCTTCTCCAGGGCATCCTCCTGGAGAGCCACCTGGAGAAGTCAGAGGCGACCCAAGAGTAAATCGGGCAGCAGCTTCATTCAACTCCGAGTCCACATCATCATAAATATGTGAAAGAGATTCACAAGAAGATGCATCTGAGAACCAGCTCCTAGAAGAAATGCTGCTGGCAGGACTAGGACTTAGGGAAGACTCCCGGTAGGATGGCTCAAGAGGAAGATAGAGATGATCTCTAGAAGGTCTTTCCAAATATTCCCTATCTGCATCATTTATGTGTAGGTCATCTTCATTTGTATCTGTTTCTTGATGACAGTTAGGAGAGATGGATGTAATCTGAATACTTGGGCACTCAAAGGGCTTGGGACCACCTAGTGAGCTATATTTAGATTCAGAAATATCACCAGTTCCTTCATAGTTTTTGTGACCTTCAAGTTGAAACGACGGTGACAAAACAGAAGAGTGAGACGGTAATCCATGATGTGGTAAGCAAAGTGATGAGTTTAAAGTAGATGGAGGTGGATCTACATTGAAGATGTAAATGGATGCACAATCATCTGGCTCAAGATCTATGGGGGACAGGAAGTAAGTAAAAAAAAAAAAGTCAACAAAAAATCAAATTAGAAAATTCAGATGTATGAATTACGAGGTAAGAAAGTAAATAACAACAATCTTGAGAAAACAGGGTGACAAGACATGTACGTCATTAGCTCCACTAAAGAGTTGATTTATCTTTAATGTATCTAGCTGTTTCTGCAGGTATACACAATCATTACATGTAAATTTATATATGTAAACATATATGTATACATTTATATTTATATGTATACATGTAAAATTATTATATGTAAAATTTCCTTTTATTCCCACATTTTCAAAAGGGCTGATCAGAAAATAAATACTTTTATAAAAGAAATAATATCTATGAATTCTTTTAAAAAATTACACAAAATTACAGGATGATATAGTCATGTTAATTTTCTAGAACCTCCCAAAAGAGCACCACCAGCTGGGGACCAAGCCTTCAATATATGAGCCTTTGGGGAGGGGCACTTTGCATTCAAAGCATATGTTCTGTATGTTGATTGAATTTATGGCTCAATGAGAAACAATTGTACCAGAATAAATGCCAATTTTACTTTGTTTTTTGGTTTGTGATTTTTTTTTTTCCTGGGGGTGGAAGGTGGGGCTTTCAGTTCTGCAGTTTGAACTCAGGGCCTACATCTTGAGCAACTCCACCAGCCTTTTTTTGTGATGGGCTTTTTCAAGATAAGGTCTCACAAACTATTGTCCCACATTGGCTTCAAACCTCGATCTTCCTGATCTTTGCCTCCTGAGTAGCTAGGATTATAGATATGAGTCACTGGCACCCACCTTGTATTTGTTTTCTCAGTGCTGGGAGTTGAACCCTTGTGCATGCTAGGCAAGTACTCGATGACTAAGCTACATCCCAGCCTTTATTTTTTAAATTAAAATTTAAGAGCCTAAAAAAAGAATGAGATCATTCCCAAAGGACACAGGGGCCAACCTGGAAAGGCTCCCAAAAGCCAAATGTGAAGCAAATTTAGAAAGAACAAAATAGATACTACTGGATTGTAACTCACAGAATCAAGTAAATATCTGTGCGTATACAATGATATAAATAAACAACTGAGTAAATTAATGAATGAGAAAGGGTCGTGCTTTCGTACAGGAGATTTCTAATTAGTAAATATAAGCATGATAATAATAAATAATAAGTACTTATTAGTCAAATACCACAAAAATGTTACAAAAAGATTAACCAAAATCCTAGTCAGTGGGTAAAGTCTGAAAAGAAAAGAACATTAGTATAGTTTTAAAGTTTCTCTCCAAGATATTTATCAATTCAAAAGAAACAAACTTCATAGGGGAAGAACTTGACAAACAATACCTTTATTAAGCGACAGAGTTTTACATCACCAGAAAGACCTATCAGTTATCATGTACTCCCTGATATGACTAATACGACACACCATGAAATTACAACATCATTTCTGCAACAATCTTATCCAAAAAAGCAGAACCTAAATTTAATGAGAAAATATCGAACAAACCCAAACTGAGACATTAACTCACAAGCATTTATCATTAAGTATCAAGGCTATGAAACACAATGAATAAGATATAATCACAGATGAGACCCAACAACTAAATGCTGTGTAGAATCTTGTATTGGATGCTGAAACAGAAAAGGACAGTAGTTTCCTTGAAATAAGGTTTGTATTTTATTTAATATCATACTAATATTAACTTCCTGGTTTTGATCATTGTATTGGGACTACTAAGTTGACAATATTATAGGAAGCTGAGTAAAGGGTATACATGAGCTATATGTTTAATTTTTACAACTTCCTGTAAGTCAAAATTTACTTCAAAATAAAGTGTTTTTTTAAAAAAAACTATTAAAAAGCTTGATAAAGAATACAGCATATAATTATAATAAAACATTAATGAGGTAAGTAGTGAGGAAAAAGAAGGAATGTGCTGAGAAGGAAAAAAAGTCAGAAGGAAGTAGGAACAGTCTGTAACCTGAACAGACCATGTATATCACTACAATGTAAACACTGAGTGAAAAGGCAGAACAGGATTATTAGAGACAGAGAGTAATACAGTAGAATGTAGTAAGAAATTTGTGTTACATGATAAAAGCGAGAGCACACAAGGGAGGTGTGAGGATAGGTTAGACACCTAAAAAATTAGCTAGCATTTGTTGCCCTCAACGCAGAGAAACTAAAGCAGATACCTTAAAAGCAACTGAGCCCAAAAGGAAAAGGGGACCAGGAGCTAGAGAAAAGGTTAGATCAAAAAGAATTAACCTAGAAGGTAACACACATGCACAGGAAATTAATGTGAGTCAACTCCCTGTATAGCTATCCTTATCTCAACTAGCAAAAACCCTTGTTCCTTCCTATTATTGCTTATACTCTCTCTTCAACAAAATTAGAGATAAGGGCAAAATAGTTTCTGCCGGATATCGAGGGGGTGGGGAGGAGAGGGAGGGGGCGGAGTGGGTGGTAAAGGAGGGGGTGGGGGCAGGGGGGAGAAATGACCCAAGCATTGTATGCACATATGAATAATAAAACAATAAAAATTAAAAAAAAAAAAGAAATTTGTGTTAAGTCACCACATTTGTAGCTGTTTATTACAGCAGCAACACCACCTTTGGTCCTACCACAGACCTACTGAATCATGTCATGAACCCTGGTATGGGAGTACATTCCTATAACCCTAGCACCCAGGAGACACAAAGAAACGCTGTCAAAGAGAGAGAGAGAGACAGAGACAGAGAGAGAGAAAGAGAGAAAGAACAAGTGAGTGTGGGGGATAAGAGTGAACCACTGCCATATATGCAATGATTTCCAAGGTAGGATGTTAAGGGAAAAAAGAAAGATACAGGATAATGAGTATAGTAATCTAACTACATAAAAATAAGAGGTAGATATGTATGTTTATATATGAGTACAGTATTTCTGAAAAGGCACACAAGACTGGTAACATTGGCTGAATGCTGGGAGATACACTAGATGTTAGGAGATAGAAACGTGGGTTTTCACATTATGTAATTATACCTTTTGAATTTTGAATTACATGAATGAACTTTCAATAAATTAATGAAAATGGCATAGGCTGAATTGTGGACAGCTCCAGGAATGAAACCTGACAGAGTAAGGAGACTCATGCTTCACTTTATAGAAGCTTGATAAAGGTTTTGGTTTGTTTTGTTGTTTTTATAAAGAATGAAAGAAAACATACACACACAAACCAAAATTAATAAATTAATCCATGAAATACAGAAAAGCACAAAATATATGTGGATTTTGAAATACTTTAAAAATTGCACCCATTATGTCTGCAATTCCAATTCTAGATAAGATTCGTATAAAAACACTTAAATTACTGTGAAAGGCCATATGAACTGAAGCATTATCTGAAATAGAAAAAAAAAATGGGGAAAGCTTAATGTTCACTAATAGATAATTAAATTCATTATAGAACAAAATATATTCTTTTTATCCTGTTTAGAATGCTTTACAGGAATTGGAAAGAATACCAATCTATATATGCAAACATGAAACTATATCCTAGGAAAATTATTGAGTGAAAAATAAATTACTTTTAGTGAAAAAAAAAAAAAAAAAAGCAGAGGAAAAAGTATATAGTATGATCCCAAGAATAAAAATTCTACATGTACATCTTTGGATATGTGTGTATGTATTGTAAGTGGTCTATAGTGCTCAATAAAAGGTTAGGAAAGGTACAAACAGTGATTACTAGTAGGATATTTTTGATAAGAAAAATGACAAGATTAGACTTAAAGGAAACTAACTTCAGCAATGTGACAGAAAAATGGGAGAAGAAAAATAAAAGGGCTGAAGCTGTAGCTCAGTTGTACAGTACTTGCTGGTTATGCTAGGTACAAAACACAGCACCACAAAAAGAAAAAAAAAACAATTTGAAAGTGTTCAGATGAAAAACTTTAAGAACCTTAATTAGGAGACTAGCAGTAGAAATCAAGACAGTTTCTAACCAAGGATTCAGGAATATACAGGATGACTATTAATATTCATACTTGGCCAGTCTGCTCTGAAAGTGCGTAATTTGGTGGGTTTTAATATTCACAGAGTTATACAAGTATCACCATTATCTAATTCCGTATTTTAATCATCCCCAAACGAAATCCTAAACCCATTAGCAACCACTCTCCACTCTCCTTCCCGCCAACTCCCAGAAAACATTAATCTGCTTTCTGACAATATGAAACAGTTAATTTAAACCAGGACATTTCACTATGCACATCCTTTTGCAAATCATTATTGGTAAGAATGATAATTCTACTTAAGACTGTACAGGGTGCAGTGGTCCCAGCACTCAAGAGACTGAGGTAGGAGGATAGAGAGAGTACAGGTCAGCCTGGGCTACAAGACCATTTCAAAAAAAAAAAAGCAACAAAAACACCATCTTGATTTCGTCCTGTCAGGGATCCTGGCACAGAGTTCCTAAAAAAAACTCTTGGAATTTAACAAATAATAGTATATTTTGTTATTTGTAACAAACTCCTTTCAACTGTGAGTTCATGCTAATGAGATGACTATTTTGTGCCTAGACAGATTCAGGGTGGAGGCTAGTCTTCAAAACCATCAAGGCAGATTACAAGTTTGGATCTTTTGGCCTCCACCATACCTTCAAAATCTAGGGAGAGGAGAGTGGTTGGAGATTGAGTTTAATCACCAGTGATCAATGATTTAATCAATTATCCCTACTTAATAAAACCTCTAATAAAATCCCTTAAACAAAGTGATTTTATAGAGCTTCCAGATTGGTAAATACATTGAAATGCTGGGAGGGTGTTGTTCCCCTGACAAGGCAAGTAAGAGCACACATACCCCTTCCCATACTTATATGTCTCTTTCATTTGACTGTTCCTGGGTTGTATCCTTCATAATAAACCAGCAAAAGTAACTGTTCTGAGTCCTAGTAAATTATGGAACCTGAGGAGGGGGTTATTGAGACCACCAGAACAGTAGTCATCCAAAGACTAAGTGGGAGC